TTTATGTACTTTTTATGTTATTTTAAACAATCTTGTAAACTTATTTTCCGATGACAATGTCTGGCTTCTATTTCCTTCAAGAACAAATTATGAACAGGAACAACTTGTACAACTTCCTTTATTTTTCAGTGCAAGATATCACTGCATACAACCAGCAATACTGAAGCACTCTAAGTAGAGTACTTTTTATACTGACATGAGAAGCATAAAATTACATTTGTCAGATTTCTCATTAATTACTTTCATTAGTATCAATCTGATGATTTGGTATGTGGAACTTGCAGAAAGCATTCAGAATCAGAATCAGAATCAGAATAATAATATCAGATAATCCATTAGAATTTTTCTAATAAGCATGGTGACATGGAGCTAGTTTGTAGCAGGCCAGATCAGGTTGTGTAAGACAAAATTTACTGAAGCAGTTCCAGAGGAGGACAGCAAAACTGGTGAACAGCCTAGAGAGTAAGGCCTATGAGGAGTGGCTGAGGGCACTGGGGTTGTTTAGCTTGGAGAGGAGGAGGCTCAGGGGTGAACATATCTCTCTCTATGACCGCCTGAAAGATGACTGTAGCCAGGTGGGCTACAATTCCTTCAGCTCCTTCTCACAGGCAACCACAGGACAGGAGGACACAGGCTTAAGCTGCATCAGAGGAGGTTGAAGTTGAACATCAGGAAGAACTTCACTGGAAGGGTATTCAGGCATTGAAATCATCTGACCAGGGAGGTAGTGGACTCACCATGCCTGGAAATATCCAGAAAAAATTAGACATAGTACTTAGTGCTGTGGTTTAGTTGACATGGTGGTGTTTGGTCAAAGGTTGGACTCTGTGATCTGGGAAGCCTTTTCAACCTTCATGATTCTATGTTTCTGAGGTGCAAGATAGTAATTCCCTTTCTCTGTCCCCATGTTGGAACACACACACACACAAGAAAGAAATGGTGTCTTTCCTCCTCACCTACCCCCAACTGCATAAAATGAAAACATTTTATTGAATACACTTTTCATGGCTCAGCTGTACAAGTAATACTAATAATTACTTGGTTATGATTGCTGGTTATAAAGTGCTGATTAAATTTTGAAACTGTCCAAATAAACTACTGCAGTTTTGTAGGCCAGGCCATATGTTCTTCAGAGAACAAAAAGAAATGGTTCAGGCATACACTGCCAAAATCAAGCAAGAAATGCTTGGGCTTTTGGGAACTTTAGTTGTTTGGTTTTTTATGAACTAATAAAAATTTTGGAGCTGTAGGAAAAACCAGCAAAGTGCAAGGGTGAAGACAGATGTTGCAGTCTCTTCTTCGTAGAGCAGATCAGAATATCTCAAAAAGATTACACATCTTTCATGTTCAAATTTTTGTTTTCTTGTTTTCATTTGGCTTCTGTGACATGTCCCAAACCAAATCTGCATTTTATCAACACCAAACTTCACCTAAGCAACAGTTTGTAGTTCTCTTGCATCATCCAAGATAGGCATTAACAAAATTAGTGTAAAAATAATCTAAAAGATATTTTTTCCAAGGTCTTTCAACAGAGGAAAAAAGATTATTCTGTTGATAGTGGCGGTAGGCTAGACAATGGATATTCTGAAGACTCTAGTTATAACTAGTTCCTTGGATGACTGGTGTTATTCTTTAGGGTCAACAGACAGCTGAACGTGAAGCAGTGCGTGCCCTGGTGGCCCAGAAGACCAAGGGCATCCTGGCCTGTGTCAGGAATGGTGTGGCCAGCAGGAGCAGGGAGGTCGTTCTTCTCCTGTACTCAGTGCTGGTGAGGCCACACTTTGAGTGCTGTGTCCAGTTCTGGCCCCTCAGTTTGGGAAGGATGTTGGGATGCCTGAGCACATCTAGAAGAGGGCAACAAGATGGGTGAGGGGCTTGGAACACAAGCCCTGTGAGGAACGACTGAGGGAGCTGGGGTTCCCTGAAAGGAGAGTGTAGCCAAGGTAGATGTGGGTCGATCTCTCCCAGGCAAATAGTGACAGAGCAAGAAGACAGTCTTAAGCTGTGCCAGGGGAAGTTTAGACTAGACATTAGAAAAAAAAAATATTCATTAAAAGAGTGATTAAGGGAATCACTCTGCAGTAGTCTGCTCAGGGAGGCGATAGAGTTACTCTCTGTGGAGGTATTTATAAAAAGACTGGACACGGCACTCAGTGCCATGGTTTGGTTGATGAGGAGGTGTTAGGTGTTGGGCTTGATGTTCTCAAAGATCTTTTCCAACCAAGTTCATTCTTTGATTCTCTGATTCTGTGAAACTGGTAAGGGCTGCTCTGATGTTAGGAATGCTCCAAATTCCCCTGAAAATTAAAGGAAGTCAAGGATGATATCTGGAGAGTTGCCATGCACAAATGCAGGGATGAGTGCTCTGCAAGGTCTGTGTGCTTTTGACTTCAGCTGTTAATAAATCTAGATAGGATTTTATTTGCAAATATAATCAATTGCTATTTTTTCTAGTTCAGTTATCTACATGTGCAAAACTCCTTGTCATTTAGAGGACTAGCTTAAGGTTCTCAGGTGATGGTCATCTCCATTTGGATCTTTAGCATTTCTCATAGCTACAAGAGTGTTGCTAATACTGCAAGGGTAAAAAATTTCATCATACTACAGAGCTGAGTATTTCAATGTGTGGGAGCCGGCCCTGTGCAGCCAAACCACATTTCTTACAACATTTAGCTATGAAGTCTCGCTGACTTTTTCAGGGCTCAAGTAGCCAATGATGTTTTTTCCTGGATAAAGATCTTAGCTTTAACAAAGTCAAACAAAATCAAAAAGAAGCTTTTGCTGTGTGGAATCACAGTTTATTCTGTGACTCTTCTGCTTACAATACTCCTTAAAAATACACAATATTGTGTATGCTTCTTTTATTTGCTTGTTTCATATAATTTGAGCTTATGACTATGTCTCATTGTAATTCTTCCCCACCTATGTTGTTATCATGGCTGTATTAATGACTTCCACATTAAACTGGAAAAGATGGTGCATCTGTCTTTTCTCTGTGTTGAAACAGACAGATAGCTCCAAACATGCAGGAATAGTCTGCAGAGAGAGAGGAACTTTCTTTCTTTCTGATTTTTTTTTCAATGTAAACTCTTTTTTCCTCCCCTTTATTTTATAGTAGCCCATGTGTGAGCTCTTGGTCTTTTCTTCACAATTCACTGCAGACTGTACTGCTGAGGAGGCCTGAGTTTAGGAATCACTGATGATCCTTAAAAAACAAAGAGCAAAAGCTTTCTCCCCAGAGAATGCCTTTCCTGCACATTGAGATCAGAGACCTCCCCAGATGGTTTCCAGCACACAACAGAACGTTTTTCCCAGGAGTGCCTGATGCTTTCATGAGCCCGGAAAGACCCTTCTGAAGTGTGTAATTAATGCACCATCCCCGCACAAGGAATTAAGTATCCTGTTTCTGACACACATTCAAACAGTATTGATCTGTGCAAAAGGCCTCCCATTTGCTGAAGCAGTTGTATTGCTACAGCTGGTTTGGGTTTTTCTCCTTTTGAGAATTGACATCACTGTTTGATTAGAAAAGGGCAGCCTTAGTCTCAGTGGACCAAACCTCATACACACATCAATATTCTTGCCCTCCTCCTGCTCTTCAATATATATCTTGATTTGTAATCATGTTGCTGTCTATCTAAGGGGGAAAACAAAACAAACAATCCAAGTTACAAAGTTCATCTCAATTTGTCATGTTTTTGCTTCTGTTTCATAGACCATTCTTTGACAGTGTCTCTTGGTGTTTGGAAAGAGAGAAGAGTAAGAGAAAAATGGTGTTTCCAAAAGTAGGAGACTCACTTGAAACATGAGAGAAAAAAAAAGGAAAAGGGGGCACTGGCTAAACAGTTTAAGCTGTCGGAAAAAAAGGTGGGGGGATTGCTTCTGAGAGCAACAGTACTGTCTTGCAGAAGGGTCTATCTTTTCTAGCTGTGATTTGGCAGTTTTCTCTACTGTGATAGCATAATGCCTTAGATGAAGAGATGCTCAAGAAGCACTGAAATACTGTGTCACATAACAGATAAATAATCAAATAGGAGAGGTTTTTAGTAACAGATTTTTGTTCTTCCCTTGCCAGCTGTTCATGCAGAGGCATAAATTTAAGGATAGGTGATAACCTGATGAGATTTTGAAGTCCTCATAACTGGATTAATCAGCGTAGAAATAAAGAGGAAGAATTTTTGACTTGGCAGGGTGGAAGTGGTGCTGCTTTGCCTGTATGAAGGTCTCTTCTATTGCAGTCCTTGCACTACAAACTCTTGTTTGTATGGAACATCCATTCAGCACACCTAGTACTGAAAGTATGGTGGCTTTTAGGCTCAGGTGGCTTCTAGGCTCTAACAAGTTTTGCAGACATGCACTTATCCCCAGCCAGGATTCCATGCCTATGACTGAAGGAAGCATTTTTACAAGGAAAATAAAGTAAGCTGAAGAACAAACTTCATAATAATGACAGGGCCACAAAGGAGAATGAAATAAATACCTGACCTCAGGAAAAAAAAAAAAAAGTGAATTAAAGTTTTTATACTGTTTATTATTTTTCACAGTGCAGCCTCCCATGTTTTAGTCTATATTACCAAGTGTATTGTAACAGTTCAGAGAATGTTTTTTGAGAAACATTAAAGATCTAAAATCTATGTCCATGTGTCAGGGACACTAGATAGGGGAAGGTGATTTTCTAGTTCATTAAACATCAGCCCCTATCCTCTGTCCCTATAAGATTATTCACTAACACTAGTCATACATTTGCTATTTACTCATTATTTCAGAATGTGGTCTCAAAATGGTCACTGATTATGCCCAGAAATTTATTTGACTGTGTTTTGAACCCAAGATTTTGCCACTGATCAATGCTTTCTTTTTGTATTTAGTTTTCCTATTGCAAAGTGTATCTAGTATTTCACAAAGCTTCAAGATGTCTCCAATCTGCAAGATGCTTCTGGTGGAATACTTCTTCACAGCATTTGTGTTAGGTTCACTCTTTGATATAACCTCTTTTTCAGATTCATTATGCTGGTGCTGCTGACAGTTCAGTCCAGTTCATCTTCTACCAGCCAATCATTCACAGATGGAGGGAAACTGATTTTTTCCCTTGTTCAGCATCCTGTGGTGGAGGTAATGAATTACCACTGTATTTCAGAAGCTTCCTTCTGCATACATTACCTGTTCCAACTGCTGCCCTGAGTTTTGGACCTTAAAAATAGGCAAAATCTAATAATTTGAATAGTTACAAGTAAATGAAGGGAGGGATTTAGCAACATGGTAGTAGCCTGTAGATTTTCAGCATTGTGCCAGACTCTGTGGATAAAGGACATGTTGATAGCTACATATCTGTATTTAATGCTATAGCTGTCAGGCATAAGGGCTGATGGGATTTGGGCCTGGATTTGGTAAAACAGGATGTCTCCTGTTCCTAGCAGCAGGTTTATTCTCTATACCAAAATGAAGGGCACAATTCTTGGTGACTAAGAAACCTCAGCCTTTGTTTTTTCTTGTTTTTTCTGAATTTTCGTTTGATCATACTGGTTATTTTCTGTTTCCTACTACATGTGATTTACATTGCTGTTTTCAATCTGGCCTGTAAAACAACAGCTGTTATGTCCAAAAGCACTGAAGCAATCTGATATTTTCTAAACCAGAACTTAGATACATTTCAGAGCCAGACAGGAATAACATCACATCTCATATTATTTATTCCTCTGTGTATCGCAGGTTATCAGCTGACATCTGCTGAATGCTTTGATCTGAGAAGCAATCGGGTAGTAGCAGATCAATACTGTCACTACTATCCTGAAAATATCAAGCCAAAGCCAAAACTTCAAGAGTGTAATCTGGATCCTTGTCCTGCAAGGTCAGTTTACTTTAATTTTAAAGGAGATTGAGCTCTAAAGGAGTAAAAATAACATATGAAAATATTCTGTTTCTATTTTTCACAGTGTCATTTATCCTACATAATTCAACCTCTCTCTCATTCTAGGAGTGAACTGTGTAGAACACCTCTATTTAGCATCTTCACAGAGCAAAGACTGATTTGAAATGGTTGTTTCTTCCCCTCAGAATGTATTTTGCCTCATTCATTTTTACCAAGTATAAAAAAACAAATTGTCCATTATATCATCCCCATGCTCTGAATTCATGTGCTAAATGCATGTCTCATGTTAGTGAGAGGGAAATAATTCTTTCTGCATGTAAATTATTGTCATTGTATTTAGATGAACTATTTTTTTTTTTTTTTAATCTTCTCCTTAATGAAAAGCCTGCTTGCATTTGCGGCAGCTTGTAAAAATGTAATGAGTGATTTTGTTATAGTTAACAATGTCCTTTGGCCCTGCATGAAAGTCTGATCTCTGCTGCTCTACAGAATCACATAATGTATAAGGTTAGAAGGGACCAAAGGGCACCATCTGGACCATCCTCCCTGCTCAGGCAGGGTCATCCCAGAGCACATGGCACAGGATCATGTTCAGATGATGCTTGAACATCCCCAGTGAGAAAGACTTCACAACCTCTCTGGGCAGTCTGTGCCAGTTCACTGGCACTGCACAGTAAAGACATTCTTCCTCGTGTTAAGGTGGAACTTGCTGTGCATTCTTCCTTAGAAGATTAATAGTAAAAATAGTAAGATCAGATAGTCAGATTTTTCATAGCTAAGAAAAAGCAGGTAACCACAAAAAAGACCAATCCTTTGTTGCACTAATTGCTCTGAACTTCAATGGGAGTCCATCTACAACCACTCAATAAGCAGCAACCATTTATTTGTGCAATCTAAATCTTTTGGTCCTCTTTTGTGGCTTTGCTAGAAGATGGTCAAGCATAGCCCAGCAGACATCACAAGGATGCCTTAAAGCCATTTTATCACCAGCTCCTTTCCCTCTAGGCTTGTTTCTTACCAAGTTTGGTAAGTTTGAGTGAGTTCAAGCAAGCATCACCTCAAAAGTTGCTGTTTTGCTTCAGATTGATGGAGGTTGTCAAAGAGAAAAGATGTCCTAATGAGAAAAGGGATACTTAATAAACCTGTGGGACTCTGTATCCACCTAACTGAGGATAGTTGCTGCCCAAACGAGGTGTACCAGCTTTAGAGTAGCTAGGCATTATCAGAAAAGACAAAATTGCTCTAAGGCAAAGATATATTTTACTTCTTATAGGAGGTTTTCACTGAAGTTCACTGACCTTTTTTGGACATAACATTCAGATTTCTTTGTCATTGAAGACACCTTTACCCGGAGTGTATGGCAGTTTATATGCCTTTGTTCATAGTCGCACTTTTTTTTAGAGACAGATGTCAGTAGAGGCCAGGTATGATCAGTTAGCAGGCGAAAATATTAATGTTTCAGGAAAAAGATTGTTGAAAAATATTATCAATATGGCACCTGTCTTCTAGAGTCACCTATCACAGTCTCAATGAGAAAGTAATTTTATTAAATTTATTTATTTCTTTTAAATTCTAAGATGCTATTTTTTAAACCTACTCTTCTGGGTCAATATGTAATTTGCCTCTGGATTTTGTGTAGTGGATATTTTCCATACTTCCTCAATGACTTTAAATAACATATTTTCAAATGGTGATGCAGATGACTGCATGGTACATGAGAGAAAGAGAAAAAAATAACAGCTGGGCAGATGTCAGGAAGTAATTTTGTTTTATATAAGATATAACAAGGCAAAGTTGTTGATATAAAGACCCTGAGGGGAGGGAGAGTCAGTTAGAAATACAGCTATGCCATCCCAGAGGAACTGGCTTTTTGGAAACATCTTCACAGTCTGCCAAATTTCAAATTACTATTTCCAAAAGTGCCTTTGTTAAGAATTCTAGAATCAACAACCCACAGAGAAAAAAAAAGGCAGAGGAAATCCATGGTAACTGTTGGATTCCTGATGATTTCTTACAGTTGGGAAGAGGGTAGGTGAGCAAAAGCACAGGGTCAGAAGCATGGACAGGGAGGGCATCTTGGCTCTGCAGTGTCTTTGCTCTGTGGGAGCTGCTCTGCTCCACCAGTATAAAACCAAGAAGTTAATTTTTCCTGGCAAACCCAGTTCCAGTGAGGACTGCCACAGAAAATAATCATTGAAGACTATAGTGGCACTGAATAAAGGAACCAAAAGTGACTGCTCTAAATACTAAGCACTAACATTTTCATCAAAGGGTAAGCTGAAAGAAAAATTTAAATGAATACCACAGGTATTGTGTGAGCCCACAGTAAGTTGCCTATTTAGGTTTAGTGCATAGAAATGTTTACTTTATTGTGCTTACTATGGCAGTAATTAGCAGTATTGATGGCATCATGAATAGCAAAAAAGCTTAGTCTCAATAAACGTAGGAAAGCATGTGGATGGTTATTTATCAAACACATATAACTTATACATACTCATTTTCCAGGTTAAGTAGAGGCAGCCACATATACTGTTCATCCAAGTCAGACCAGTGATTCGTGTCACAGAAGAAATGATACGCGATGGCTCTGAGTGCCTTTTAATCCCTACATAACGATGCCCCATTCAGCCTCTCTTATCAAACCTGTTTTGCATCCAGCTAATAATAACTAACAAAGTAAAAAGGAAAATCTGTTTGTTTACAGTCCACTATGATTTTACAGCAGTCTGCCTTTGACTATATGCATATTACCTACTGATGTAAACTGCAGTCAGTTCAACCTGGTCCGCTCCCCTTCTGTGTGGCAAAATCCAACACTAGTATTTCACCTATTTAATTTAAATTTAATTAATTTAATTGTAATTAAAACTTCACAGACTGGAAGGTATTTTTAGCTTTCATCTTTATCCTCCTTTCTGGTATATTTTAATTAAAAAGGAATGGATTTTTTTTTTCCCTGCTTAGAGAAAATCTTTGTTCTGATTTGACTTAACTGGGTGTGCTAAATGCTTAGGACAATTCTAAGGTGCAATAAGCAGAAGATACATTTGCTTCATAATTCCAAAAAACTAATTTTGACAGATGTGAAAAAGGCTGCTGCCCCACTCATCATTCACTTACTGACCAGGATACTTTCGGTATTATTTCTAGATTTCATCTTCACCTTTTAGGTGGCATTCTCAGCCATGCTATTCTGCATTTTTACCATCTGCCGTATTTTTTGTCTATTGCTGCTACATGTTAATATTGGAGTTTTTGAGTCACAAAAGGTCTATTTGTGTTTTTACCAGGAAATTTCAATTTCACATAAAGATTTCTAAAGGCAGCTTCAGCAAACATTTTAAATTTATAAAGCGACTGTCTAAAAATTTCATATTAGCAAGCCTCTAGTATAAAGTGTTATATTTAACATTTCAGTTCCCGGAGTTTGCCTAGAGTTTTATCTGTAAGTCTGCCACTAGAAATATTGTTTATACCTATGGAAAGTTTGGGGGGGAAATCTCTAATTCCAGCAAGGTTTTCATCATCCAGAGACCTGAAAAACTCATAGATATACACTATTTATAGTCCTCCAGCAAAATTGCAAACTCCTCTTCCTGCTTGTCAAAGTTTTTGTTTTAGAATTCTCATTTAAATATCAGTATGGTGGTGGCAGAGATAGACATTACCAAAAATAAATTTAAAATTAAATTTGGATTTTAATAAAATTGTAGTTTTTAGTTGCTCATTTTCAGCTAATTTAACAAGAGCACTGAAGTACACGTAAAAGCATACAAGAACCACTGGGATGTTACGACCGTTCAGAGTGATTCTAAGTAGTGAGAAGTCCATAATATACTTGGCAATGTGAAAGTAGAGTTATAGATGGAAAAAGAGCTGGTACCAATGGCAATGTTCTGGTAGTAATAATCTGGGTTACCCAAGTTCAAGAGGAGGGTAAAGATGAGCAGCAGATAATTCTGATAATACCTAAAGAGATAGATTTCTTCTCAATACAAGTAGTTGAAACCTTGAATTTTTGGAAAGGGCAAAAGTAATCTAAATTAATCTAGAATATAACTTTGTTAGAATAGGTAGTGGGGGTGGGCCAAGAAGCACTTGTCAAGCAACTTGTCACTTGTCTGTGAATAGCAGAGCAAATTCAGCTCTGAGGGGACAATACATATTAATGAAACATGGAAAGAAAGGCAAAAAGGAGCTTCCAGGATGCTTCCAATAACAAGCTGTAAGGTGAGAAAATGTATCATGTTACTGCTATGAGCATCAAATACAAATATCAGTGTAGAGTTGTGTTTGCACTGTGTATCCCCTCTGGGAATCAGACCCGTGGATTTGAGGGGGAGACGCAGCATATCAGTCTGCCCAATATGATATTACAGAAAAATTAGTCTGGTTTAATTCCTAGAGGATTCCAAAACTGAAGCAAGTAATTTTCAGAGATTTTCACTGGATATTCACTTGTTAAAATTTAGTACTGTTAACTACTTAGCAGATCATTCCCTCTTTGTATCAAACACTGCTCATCCAAACCACCATAAAATATTGAACTGAATAAGAAAAAAGAGCTGTTTAGAAGCAGTATAGTCATGCTACTGGAAGGAATTACTTTTTCTGCTTTTGACTGGAAATATCTCTTTTTATCACTGTGAAGAGATTGGGTTTTAGCAGTCTATAGCAATGACAAACTCTATGTTGCTTAGAATTTAAAATCTCTGCACCATAAACAAGACATTTTTTATAAAAGTAAGATACTGCCATGCCAAACAGACATTCTGTTCAAAGCAAGAGGTTTTTTGGATGCTGACACAAAAGGATGGATTTCTCAGTAGTGTTTTTCATTCATAAGTAGGTTTTTAAAATTTCCACTGACATACCACTTTTAAATTTTTAAGCAGCAGATGTTGGCTTTTGCCAATCTGTAAAGTACTAAGAGCATATAAAAATATGTATACATATAGTGTACATGGCAGCTCAGTTTCACATTGATAGCATCCAGAAACCAGAAATTATGCTACTCATACTGGTACCATAACTGAGATTTACTATTTCACTGCCTGCAAAAGTAGGCACTGAAACCAAGGTTGCCTGTACACATGGCGTTAATGTCATCCACCCCAGCTCTGAAGGGAAAAGGTAATAGATCCACAGAATAATACATGGGAGCCATTAACAGTCACCATCTGTTTGAGGGCCTCATTAACTGTTTCTCAACACAGAAAGTGTTCTTGTAGCACAAAGAGATAATGTCACAGTGTGGCATCTTCAGAGATCACTGAAGTGAAGTACCACACCCCATCTTAGTGTCAGGATGTGAAGTGTTAAAATGCAATCTTTTGCACAAGTTTGTTGTCTGTCCAGTGATAATCATGGCTTGTATGCTAAACTATAGTCTCTGGTGGTGGGCACTTCCATGTCTTCCAGCACAGCCAACCCATTTCACTATTATTTGTTCACTGCTAATAATGTCCTTAACTCATTCCATTGCTTGGATGGCACAGTCCCTGCCATGCAGGTCGTTTACTCTCAAGTCTGACTGATTTCATTGAAGGCTTAAATCTTTGCAAGTCTGATCAGGAAAGAGATGTAATGGGTGCAGCCACTTGGGTTATTGCATGGGCAGCCCTGCAGCTGTGAGCAGGACACCCCTGGCAAACAGAGGCCTCAGCAGAAGTGGAGGCTGTGAGCCAGAGGCACATGAGCATCCTGCAGAGGCTGGGCAGTGGCACAGCAAGGGTACAGGACATCAGCACGGGAGGGGCAGGTTGTCCCCATGCAGGTCACACCACCCTGAGACTCCTTGGGAGCAGATGTCCTTTCTCTCTGCTGGCTCCTCTCTCAGTTCTAGGGCTCACGCCCCTGCTTGGCTCAACAGGTTCTAACCTGAGACTCATCAACATGCAGGAGAGAGAGATGGGAAGGGCTGGCCTTGTCAGAAAGATGGAGTCATCAGGGAGGTAGAGGAGAAAGACACTTGAGCTTAAAGCTTGTTATCTGTGCTAAATCAGGTTAAGGGGGGAAAGGAGCAACTGGGGAGGAGTTAACCAAACATGTCTTCCAAGGAATGCAGCTGTAGAAACTCATCCCAGGGGAGGGCTGAATGTTTGCAGAGATGGCAAATCTGATTGCAGCACTCTCACCTCTGGCATGTGCAGCTCCCATTCCAACCATACACATGTCTTGGAAGAGCAACTGTGTTGAGACTGCCAGCCCTCAGGAGGAAAAAAAAGCAACATGCAGAATATATGATAGGACTTGTTGGTCAGAAAGGCATAGTAGATTTCAGACATATGAGACAGAACAGCTCTGCAAAGTAATTTGCTTTGTGCTCCTGCTCCTGCCAAATCTCTTGATGTTTTGTGAATGAGTCCTGTTAGCTACTCAGACATATTTCATAAAGGAATTATTATTTCCTCTGCGCCTTTATCACACCACCCCCTTTGCATTGTCTGGGTAATGTGCAGTAAATAAACCCCATAAAGTACATCTCCTCCATGTTGTTTATAGGAGTATGATGGACTCTTAGATACATGGAATTTAAACCACTTTTTCCCATCAAAAAGTAAGAATACACCAAAGTAATCTCTTAATTTTTTTTTTTTAAGTGTTAACTTAGTCTTAGGAGATTTTTTTATGGAGCACATACAAAAAACCACACACAAGACTAGCTAGAAAAGTGCAGATGGCATTAATGATACGATGACCATCTGCTCTTCTGTTTTATCTCTAAGACAATTATTTTTTAAAGTCATAAATTAAACCATTGTGTATTATTGTGAGGGTCTCTTTCCTTGCTATGACTTTATGGCTGCGATTCATTTTCTTGTAGTTGCAGAATGAGAGCCTTTGGCAGCCCCTCACATATGGACAAAGACAGTGTCAGTAAATCTGTGGAGCTCAATAATGTTTACCGAAATGTAATTTTTGCATGCAAAATCTTTTGAGGGTCAAACCTTTCCAATTACAATATAAACCTAGTGCTCTGTAAATATTACTTAATATTCATAACGGTGTTTGAATATGGTAGAGTTGTTTCTATCTGAACAGTCTTGGAAGTAATGCATTCTAAAGCATGTAGACCTAGATTATGCATAGGAAGTCATGTTTATTAGAAAGAAAATGCTTTTCACTGCAATGAATGAGAATTTTTTTTTTTATCTGCTTCTTTCTTAGGTGGTAAATGCTTTTATAGTGTAACTATTTTATTTTTTAACTCACTATGTTAGCTTTTTTCCCCAACTTCCCCAATCTTCTCAGGAAGCTGATGAGCTGGAAAGTGCAAACAGAGAGCTTCAGAGAGGAACAGCAGTAGTAGAAGTGTCAGGAAAACAGCAAATTCCCAAAGGCAGGGGCAAAAAAAACCCTCTTCAAAAGTTCTCTTCCATCTTCTTAAAATACTGGTACACAATTTCTCCACATTCTACAGATGTCTACCCATCAAGCTGAGTCTGAAACTACTTGTTCATTGACTATACTCTAAATGACCCATTTGTCTTTTCCAAAGTTTCCCAGTGCCAGAACAACCTCTCCTAGATTTTTAGATTTTTGTGAGGACAGGCAGCTCTTCGAAAATGCAAATATGCGCACTCATGCAGAGAGTTCCTGTGACTGCAGTGGCTGCTAATGTTAGAGGGAACTGTCTAGTGCCTCTCACACACATCCAGGGCTCCAGCTGCTTCCCGCGCTTTAGCTGGAAAATTCCAGCACCCTGACCTGGCACTGACTCTTTTCTGTGGACACACAATGGGATCCATTCTTCTATTTTGGACAAGTTATGCATATAAAACCCCTGTTGACTAAAAGGAGAATAGACCCCTTTAGGCCTGGCCTGACAAGACGCCTTTGAATGCTTACAGCATTTTTCAGTGAACTGTGTTGAGGATGGAGAATACTTTCTCCCTTCCCCCTCCTTAGCTCCTTCCCCCTTGCAGAAATCCACAGCAGCATACCTACCACCTCTCATCTGTAAAAAGCTTCCAAAAACCTTGGAAGGAAATCTTTTTTCCTTGACATTCAGTTTCATCTCTCTGTAACTAGGATGGAGACACACTTTTTCTTTTAATGCAATTAGTATTCACTTCTTGATATTTCTGTCCACTTGCTTCATCCAAATACCCAGGTGGCTTTGATGAAGGTGATAAATGAGGTCCTCTGAGATCATCTGTTTTATTTTAATAGATTGTCTGATAACTAGGAGACAACATGGTTAAAGTTACTCTGAGTCAAAATTATAACAGTGCAGATAAAATACAATATTTCAGACCAGCAACTCAGTGAGACTTTGTAGTTGTCAGTGAGAAAAATGGTATCCATTTAACACATAACTGGCAAGATAATATTTCAGATAAATCCTAATTTTGATGTATGCTATTGTCTTTTATAACTTTCAGATGTTACATTGTGACACCACACCAATAACAGTACAGCAAAGCAATCAACCAGTTATGACAAACAAAAAAATTCAACCTGACATATTTATCTTTTCTCAGACTCCTTTTTCTTTCAGGGAAAAAAAAAAAAAAAAAGGAAAAAAAAAAAAAAACCAGATACAGGTCTGGACTCATTTAAGGTGAAGAAACAAGAATTGTGGATACAAATTCTTGTGCTGTAATTACCCAGATTTCCAATCTTGTACCCTGTAAAAGCAGAGGTTTTATTCGATGGGCAGAAACAACCATATAATAGTTATAAAAAGTATTTTATTTAGAGGTCTGCAGCAGATAAAAATTCCCCTATTGTCCTCCGTTACTTTGGATCTAAGCTCCAAGAATATATCAAGTATAGAAACATTATTTTTGATACTAGACAATAAAAATGTAAGTTAAAATAATATTTGGGTCACTTTTAGCAATAGATTGTTTATTTGTCAAACAATAATATATTTATGGGAAAAAAAGTGTTAACCAGTGCTTTATTCACTGAATTACTCAGAAAAAGTAGGATGGGAGTGCATTTTTTTTTTTAATTGGATAATATCTTAGGTAAAACATCTTTTTCTGTTGATTTATAATACTGTAATACAAAAAGTTGTGTAATGTAATGCAATATTATGTATTATGTAATCATCTAGTGTTTATTTTATTATGTGTACCTTCTACTCAGAGGGTTGGCATTATTGTTCCTAACAGTGATGGATACAAGCAGATCATGCCTTATGACCTCTACCATCCCCTTCCTCGGTATGTAAAACAGTCAACCAGATGCTAGGCTTAACAAATCCATTTTCTTTTTCTTTTATTCTTCTCTGTATTCTGCTTTACTTTCAGGCTAAATTAACAGATCCTGCTTCTCTGGACTCCTACAAATTAATGTAGAGATGTTCAAGAGCTAACCTGTTGTAATAAATTCTGTTAATGCACAACTTAAATTATAGCTATCTGAAGGAGAAATGTAGATTTATTAAGTGTTTAGTCCCTTTCTTTCTCCTGTTCCTCAACCCCATTTTCCCTTTTCTCTCACAACTTTCCTATTCTTGGCCTTTACTCCTCTCTGAGCAGAACTATAATCTGTGGCTTTGTTACAAACCATAAGATTTTCTCTTCCTCACCCCCATTTTGCTGTTTCTTGAATGCCTATAATTTGTGACAACATTAGTGTTGTCTTCTGATCCTACAAACCTAGGTGATCAGGGTAGGAATAGGATCAACACCTGATTTTTATCATTAATTATCTCACAAGTAAAATGTCCTTAATTTAAGACTCAAGATTCTCATGGAAATAATCAGATGAGTAGTTATTTTTAAAGCAGTGAATAAGACTGTTGATGATAAAAATTTTTGATAGCTGAAGGATAATAACCTCTAGGTTCTGAAATACTGCCTGGACATGCAAAAAGTATTGCGCTGTGTTTTATTCTTCATTAGTTTACTGTGTCCTGCACTATGAAATCACAAAAAGAACAACTTGACAGTCTCATCCATGTGAGGAAACAACCTCCATCCAATTATATTGAGGACTGATGCACAGAGGTTTCAGCATCAGTGTACAACTGCAGTGTCTTCACACTCCACAGTCTCCAGCCAAAACATGGACCCACCTCCAACTGAGATTGAAACTATGTGCTATATTTAAGCTACTTGAAATTTCTACAGTTGCCTAAGACACCTGGAAACTTGTCCCAAAGACTTCAGGAAACTTCCTGGTGCCATCACTTTTTAAGGCTAGGAAAAGATGGCTTCGGTAGGCTGAGCCATCAAATTTAGAGCCAAGCAAATTTTGCAGTTCATGAATTTCAGTTTGGGGCCTCTTGTTTGTGGTAGTAAGAAACCTCAGCTGTATACTCGTTCAGCAGAGCCACTGGAAACACATTTAAGTGGAAGTATTCCTAAATTTACATCTTTATAAAATATGTGTCTTACGATCAGCACATGATGGTGGCTGTGCATGGTGTAAAAATTGTTCCACCACTCCTAGTGGTATGTCTCAGAATTAATCAGTGGCTTTACTACTCATAAACAGCTTTTAATTTAAGCGATTTCACATTGAGTTTTATGGTGCTACCGGACCAGGTAGGGTAGCCAGGTGAGGGTATTGCTAGGTATGCTGGAGCTGATGAATAGATCGTGGGCTGATGTGATGGAAAATCAGTGAGAAAGATAAGCATTTTTTATACTGCTCAACAATCTTGGGGATCCGGTATTTGTTACTTGACAAAAATATTTCCTTTGTTTTAAGTGAGACAATAAAAGTTCTCACCTTTCACTTCTTTCACTTCTTTTACTTCTTGTGGGGTGTACTACAGATGGGGTGTTTTTCACAAAAACTATTCTTTGAGGTCAAAAACTGAAATCTTTTGACCAAAATTGTTTCAAACAGTATTTGTTATGTCAATATGAAAAAGACATTTGCCTTGTGGGGTAAAGAATTATTCCATTAAATGCTTCCAGGTAGACAGAACACACACACTTCTGTACTTCAGTCATGCACAGTAATATACAGGAATAGCCACACTGGATCAAGGCAATGGTCCCACATCCAATCTGTGACAAAGGCTTGAAAATAAGAGAGGCAATACCAGACAATTTTGTGGGGACATTCATGTATATGTATAAAGTAATACATAGCTTACAGCATATTCATCACTAAAAAAAAAAAAAAGGATTATTCTCATAAGTATACCTAGCTTTTCAGAACATGCATATATTGTTCTTAGGATTTTTCATTACATTCTCAATGGCACTTGTAGAGAAAAGATGGGTTCTCAGCTCCTGTCACTGCCTTAACTGTAAGGAAACAAGGTCCACCTCATTTATCCATCAGAGGACATGTATCTTGCTAATATAGTCACATGTTCTTTTTCACAATTTCCACTCTTCTTTCTTTTTTTTTTTCCTCTACTGAGTTGTTTCCTTGGAAGAAACACTGCTCTTTCCCTTTATGTTCTACAAAAGGGTCATCAGCCTCACAGCACACTGAGTTTCCTGTGATTTGTGACAAAGATTCCTCAGAATATGAAAAATTATGAAAATATTATAATCCCATCAATTAAAAAAGGAAAAAAAACAACTTAAAAGTATTTAGATTTTCAGTGGCAGCAGTAATTGGGTTAGTGGGAGAGAGAATATTTCATACTATTAACTGTGGTTTAAAAGACACCAGCCATGAGCATTCTTTGCTGCTGTGGACACTTGTGAAAATAGATACATGATTAATTTTTACTGATGTTGCCCAGGTAAAAAAACATGCCAAGCCAAGCCAAACTAAACAAAAACAGCACAAAGCAAAACAAAATAAAGCAAAATAATACCCAAAACAAACCATAACCAAACAAATAAAAACCCCATAAAACAAACTGAAGACAGCAGTTTATGTATTTTGGGGGTACAGGTGCGGGTAGGACAAGAAGGGTAATGTTTCCTGATGCCTCCTCATTTTCCCAGATGGGAAAGCACACCCTGGACTGCCTGTTCCTCATCCTGTGGAGGGGGCATTCAGAGCCGCAGCGTCTCCTGTGTGGAAGAAGACATTCAGGGGCACATCAGCCCTGTGGAAGAGTGGAAATGCATGTATACTCCAAAGATGCCTGTTGTCCAGCCTTGCAATATATTTGACTGTCCAAAGTGGCTTGCTCAAGAATGGTCTCCGGTAATCAATTTCAGTTTGTTGGTTTTATGTTTAACACACTAAGGAAAGTATCTTAAATCATAGTTTAGTGAGTTTTTCAAGTTTTTTACCTCTGTGACATTAATTTGTGACCTTCTGCTAATAATAGACTAGGAATATAAGTGTCTGATAAGCATGCAATGTTATTTCTGTATTACAGTATTTCAGTCATAAATTGAAACTCAAAATTGCTGAGAAATTTCAAGAAGCATATAAATCTGTATATGACTGTGCTCTTTGATACCTGTATTTGTCTGTTACTGCTTGCCTTTCCTTCTGTATGGAAGTAAATGTCTTGGAAATGTCCTTCCACAAAAGTAGTGAAATAGTTTAAATTTGTACATAAAGACTTGGCTTGAATATAGTTTCTCATCAGGACAGTTTCTCAGCAAGTAAATTGTGCTTTAGAAGCTAGGCTAGCTTACCTGCAGATGAGGTGCTCTTGACTGATTGCAAAGTGTTTGTTGATATCCAGATGAAAGCTGCTGTCAAGAGCAAAGCAACATTGGTAACATCCATAGTGCTTTCAACTGATTGGTAGTTTTAATCATCTCCTGTGCAACCAATTTTGAAACAATCTGTGCAGGGGGTAAAAGCTGATGAACCAGAGCAAAAATAAATAAATAAATAAATACCTTAGGAAAGTATCTGAGGGAAGAAAGCCCAGTAGTTTCCCATTCTGTTTGGTGCTTTTGTCCAGAATTGCTGAGTGTAATCCCTGTTGAAGCATAAACCCTAGTACTTTGTCCAAGCAAAGCAGAGTGGCTCCAAATGAAACTGACAGGGTGTCACTGAGCATATCCAATATGGGACAGATGCTACAAGCCAAGTAAGCAACATTGCAAAAGCAACACTGCTAGAGAAGTCCAATGGCAAAATGTCCAAATCAAGTAAATGTTCCGAGCAAAAAGACAAAATTTCTGTCAATTTTATATATTATCCATAATTACCAAATATTACGAATATTTTAGTCTCAAGTTTGGGTGTTTCTGCATCATGTTTGGCTCTCTTGTGTTGCATATTCTTGTCATATTTATCATTGTTATGTGTGACTTTATTTTCTCCTTTTCATTTTCTCTTTTCATGTTTTTTTTTTTTTTTTCAATCCAGTGCACCGTGACCTGTGGACAAGGACTCAGATACCGTGTGGTCCTTTGCATTGACCACAGGGGGATGCATACAGGAGGCTGTAGTTCTAAAACAAAGCCACACATAAAAGAAGAATGTGTTGTACCCACTCCTTGCTACAAGCCTAAAGGTAATGAGGCAGAATGTTTCTCATAAATTTTTTAGAGGTCTTTCATGTTCATCTGTTTTGTTTCACTGCTGGCATCACTATTTCCACCTGCACCTGAATTATGATTTTGCACCTGTCTGTTCCTGTCTGCCTGCCAGCAGCTTGGAGTGAGTGCTGACCCCTTTAGTCTTACAAGTTTTGGGCTTTTCATAGTTAATTTGTGGTCCAGCAGACTAAGCAATTGAAATATAAATTTGGCTGTATTTTGACTGTTTACATCTGAGCTAAATGCAGCAAGGCACAAAAGAGATCTTGTGTTGCAAACCATCCAAAACTGACTTCTGCTTAGAAGGGTGCAAGGCCAGCTAGGAAAGCCTTGCTTACCTCTGCCTGTCATGAAATATCCTCAAATGGGACTTGTCAGGGAAGAAAATAAATTACTCCTTTCTGGAAACCCCCCCTTGCAAGAGTATGACATCTTTACCCTGCATAAGATCTTGTACTGCCCTTTGCATAATTAAGCACAGAAATTTGCAGAAATAAAGCACATACATGCTTAATTTCTGAATGTAGGGAGTTACTTATTTCTTCCATTTTTTTCACATGGAATGAAAATTCCTGTGCAAAGCTTGGAGTAATTTGGTTTAGTTTCCCTCCTCATCTTTGCTCTGCAACACTCTCACAGTTTTCCCTTCATAATGCAAAGTGCAATGTTTGAATATCTGTATATCTGAAGGCTGACCAGTGGTTTCAGAAGAATATTGGACTAGACGGTATCCAGAGGTGCCATCCAAACCAAATTATTCTTTTTTTTTAGGCTAGAAATTTTTCCTTTTTATTTCACACAACTAGAGTTAGAAATTTAGGGCAGAAGGGATAATGAACCTCTCATCTATTGAATGTTTTTGTCCTAGACTGTTTTCTTTTCCTACAGCTAGATTAACACAAAGCAGAAAGCAGTCCTCCTAGCTGACAGAAGCAGCAAGGCAAAAAATGTGGAAGTCTCTTTTCTCTTAACACTCTGCAAAAAAGAAATAGAAGGCAAATTTTTCATATAATTATTTCATTTTAGTTTATTCGCGCCCTAAGGTACTTTATGTTGCACCAATAATGGGAAAAAAATAGGATATCACTAGATTAAGTAACATTTCTAATCCTCTAACAAATTTTACAGTGTAGATACTAATTAACTACACCTGTAAAAAAAATGGAAGGTTATTAAAAAGTCACAAAACAGGCTATGTTAGATAAGAATTTTGCTTTTTACAAGCACTTGCATCTAAGCAAAATAATCACATAAGTAAGATATGACTTTCCAAAACCCATAAAATAAACTTTAGAACATATAAATAGAAATATTTCCTACATATTCTGGATGATTAGTAAAATATAGATTAAAGCAAGAGCTGCAATGGCATTCATCCTTAATATGTTAGATGAAGAGCTTGGCAAGCTGTTTGTAAGATAGAGGAACAGTAATTCTATTATTGTCCCTCTTTTCCTCAGTTAATAACTTGCTCCAAGGAAATTTGCATGACTAAAGTTACAATAGCTGTGCAGTCAAATTGTAGGTAATTTTTCCTCTGTGATAAAACTGAGATGGAAAATTTCATGTGCATATATGAAATGTTCATTGCTCTCCACAATGGAGCCACAGAAAATTCCTGACTATTCGAAATGACAATAACCTGCTCCTGTTGGTGAGTACAAGTCCATCCTCATGCAAACCCAAACAGTTTAGGTGATTTGTGAGTGGCAAACAGGTTTGGCTCCGGTCCTCCTCTCTGCCCTTTCTTTTGTTTTCCCCCGATCCTAGCCCAGAATGCTCTGTTGAAGTGCAGAGTTCCTTCTCAGCTTTTAGTGCCAAATTTCCTCTTGCTTTATACTGTAGAGCTGAAACAGCTCTGCTGCCTTCAGCTCAACTACTCTGCTCTGACACTGCATTAAAGTGGAGTTTGGCTTGCAAAGCAGCATAGCCCTGCACTCCCCAGAGCAGAGCAGCTCATTACCCTGTGTGCATATCCTGGAGAGGGAGAAAAGCAGCTCCGCTGTTTTCCATCAGGAGTGACAGAAAAAGTATCATGTTCATTTTTTAAATCCACATAGCTGATGAACTGATAAACAGAGTTGAAAAGCATAGCTCGGCCATTTAATTATATATTTCCTGTTGTATCAGTCATCAAAGCAGGATTTTCTTTATTTTTTTAATCTGCCAAAACTAAGCTCAGCATGTCTTCTGAAATTCTGAAATTTTAAAGTAGATACAGGCAGGTTACACATTTTGCCTTGTGTAATGGAAGCATGTTACACTTGCAAACTTCCCTCCAAAAAAAAATACTTTCCTACTTTTGCAGTCCCGTTGTATAGTCTGAAAGGTGACAATTTTAATTTGCCTGTCTGACTTTAGGGTGCTATAGTCCTTCTACCTGCAACAGGGAAATATCTGGCCATATAACCTTGTAAACTGTATAGTCCAGGTGATGAAAGAGTTTGTTTCTCTCCCTTATGTTCTCTTTTCTCTTTGTCCTCTTTCTCCTCTTTCTGCTTGGCCCCCACGTGTGTGAAGGCACCCATACATCACAGGCATGCTTGGTGAGCACAGGAGGGTGGCATACAAAGCAGTGTTACAGCATGCTTCCTATTTTCACATGCTCGTGTTTGCTCCATAGAGAAACTTCCTGTGGAAGCAAAGTTGCCATGGTATAAGCAGGCTCAAGAGCTGGAGGAAGGAACAGCCGTATCTGAAGAACCCTCGTAAGTCTCAAAAATTTGCTTACAACAGGTTCTTGTTATGTGATCCTGAAAAGCTGTGGTTACTCCCTTGCTGGGGGCGTTCAAGGCCAGGTTGGATGGGGCTCTGAGAAACCTGATCTAGCTGGAATTTGTCCCTGGCCAAAGCACGAGGAGTGGGAACTAGAGGATCTCTAAAAGGTCCTTTCAAATCCAAGGCCCTCTGCAATTCTGTGTTTCATGTGGGAACCTGGGACTTGCACAGAACTAGCACAATCTCTTGTGCTAATGTGAAAAAATATTAATGTAATTGGCTTATGCTAGAGTGTAAAGGATGATCCCAACCCCATGGAAATCCATGCTCTTAAGGCTGTATCATACCTAGGCGCAGAGACAGATGTCAAGAGGGTAAATGCAGATTTAATTTAAGCAAATATACACATTTTATGTGAGATCATTAGGAGAGTATTATAATAAAAGTGTATCCATCTATGTATTTATATGTTCTCTATTACTACTATGTCTTTACAGCTTGGCAGCTTTATTTATTTTTTCAATACCCCTGTGAAGCAAGAATCAAAACAAAGCAGCCAGTGATGACTCCCTCTTGCCTTTTTCCCCAAGGAAAAGCATAATAACAGCAAAAAAAAGTATAAATTTTACCAGAAAATAAACTAGAATCCTGTGATGCATACCACATAAGCCTAGAGCAATGAGACCAAGAATTTATAAGTATTTACTGTGTTTTAGATGTTTTTGTCTGAAACTGTGATAAATCCATGCTATAATTGCAAGTTCTGTGCACAGCATCCATCAATATTCAGTTCCTTGTGTCTGAGCACACAGCATTTTTTATTACAACTGCAACTATGTATTAGATTAAAAAAACATTTTTATGCAATATAATTGCAGTTTTGGCATGATTAATCTGAACTGAAGCAATTAGAAACAGGAGCATTACCAGAGAGCTGGAGACATATAATAAGTCTTCCAAAACAAGTCCTTCATAATAAGTCCTCCAAAACAAGAAAAAATATCCAGCTGCCATATGTATATATATACACATATAGACAAATATATGTATATAGAAGCATTTATACACACATATACACAGACAAATGTACATTAATATGTGTTTATATATATTTGTAGCAGCTACCACATATAGTATCATGAGATCTTTAACTGCTTCCAGAGCTTCATAGACTTTATAGGTTGATTAATTCAGAGTGAAAGCCTAGAAAAATTGATTTTTGTGGATATACTAATTTTTCGTTTGTAAAGTGCATTTTGTTGTGATTTTTCTCATGGGTATACTAAATTACTCAGCTAAATGTGTATTTATCAACCTATAAATAAACCTTAGGAGCATACATAAAATAAGGAGCAATACTGATATGCTATTATGTGGTCATATTCAGAATAATTTGTTACACTAAGAAATTTTTTGATCAGCTTTGTGAACAAGGTTGATTGCACTGTAGAAAAGGAATAGGTATAGATATATATGTCTCTGTGTTTCTGTCTGTGTGTGTATGTATACACATATGTAGATTTAAGCGTTAACACGAAGGGATTTGTAGAGAACAGGCATAACCTGTTGTTTGTCATGATGCATATTATAATAAAATATTGTGGGAAAACTTACAGGTATATTATTGTGATACTAAAACAGTCCTTGAGAGATCTAAAGGGAAAGGAATTTAAGAACTGCAGCTTGTTTTGAAGTGCAGTTATGACACCTCCATACCTTATGTCACTGCTCTGCTGCATTGAAGGTCATTTTCTGCAAAGACTGCCGCATCTACTGCAAGGCTTCAATGGTGCCAGTGAGATGCTGTTATTCCCACTCTGGACAGTGGGCCATAGTCCAAACTAGATTCAGTCTGCCATGGGATGACATTTCCTACACTTGTTTTCTCCATGCAAGGCAGACCTCTAGGCGTATTTCTAATAGTACAGATCAAGCACTGTAAATCAAGTACAGATTTTTATATCTGTTAACTAACAGGAAAAATAAAGGGCATGAAGTCAGGGTTTTCACACAAACTTTCCCGAAGCTCAGAGTTGCCTTGAGTTTAGTTTAGAATGATTTTTGGTGATAAGGCATGAGACAGGAAAACCAAATAGAAACTTAAAAAATTTGTGTTGGAATTACTATCCATGCAATCCCCATTTGTAAACTGTAACATCGATCTGCATATTGTTCCAGAGTACCTAATCTCTTTCAGGAATCTTGAGCAGTGAACTCCCACCTAAAAATGATTTTGGTGCCTCATTATTAATATTGGTTTTTATTAACATCTGACTTTAAAGAGTTGCTCATTTTAGGTCCTGATTATTAGATTAAAAACTGTGTGTAACAATATAAAAAAAGGAGATAAAACATTTAGAACTCACTAAAATACAAGGAACAATCAACTTCAGGGCCAGCTTTATAGCATCATTTAATTCAGCTGTGTAGGGATATCAAACACACCAGGAGCAAGGTGTATTCCCTGATAATGCACCTTTGGCCAGTGCTTCTGCAGCTGGGCAGAGACACAGTGTAATACTCCATGGCCCACCACCCTTGCAGATGTCAGGCTACCAGCCACATATTTTGCCTGATGAACTATCAGTCTGGAGTGTGGATACATGATACTTTGAGGACTGTAGCAGTTAAGAGCTTTTTAGTGTTGGATCAAGCAGTAGCTGGTGTAAGACTGTGTGTGATGCGTTCAGCTATTTTGCTGACTGTGTACTAACGAAATGTGAGTAGCTGTAAGGCAGCAGGAACAACAGAAGGCCTCCAGTGGCATGTTAAGCCAGGTGCTTAGGAGGCTGCATTTTGTTCCTAACTGTGTTTACTTTAAATTGTAGCAATGGAAGTTTCTTCAGACAAGCTATACTTACACAACTTTCCTATTCAGTCCATGTTGGTGCAGTAATTACCAATTTCATTACTCCACTTGAGCAGACATCAGCAAGGATTCATTATTTTGCCCCACTTCATCTGAGGCTCTGGTCAAGCTTTCTTATGCCACCAAGTCCCTGACTTCCCCCATTCTCCTCTACAGGCAGGGCCAGTCTTTGTAACCCGTAGACCACTCTTCCCTGACCACTGTGACCCTTTCTCCCTCATCCTTCTTCGGGCAAAGAAAACATACCTCAGCTATAACCAATTCTATTGTCTTTCTCAAAGTCTATATTTGATTAGAAGTTTAAAAGCTAAACCCCAAAATTTTCAGGATATTTCTTCTATGAATTGAATTCTCACATTTGTGAAACTCTGTATTGCTGTTTTCTGATTTTTGTAACTTTTTATTGAATATTATTTTTGTTATGAAATTACACACTATGATTTATAAACTTACAATATGTCTCCATACTATGCTTCCACCTGTAATTTGTGATCATTCTCTGATATGTGTTGCCAGAGCACCAGATGCCACAATTTTATTCCATCTGTGTATAATGCCTTCCGTTGTTTATATCTTCAGGAATTTCAAATGCAAGCAAGTCTTACAGTTGAATTTTGTCTGTATATGTCTATCTGTAAGTTGCCTTCCTCTCCTTTCAGTAATGTCTGAATTTATTATTACTAACCGGTTCTGACAGAGGTATAAAATTATCACAGAGAATTTTACTCTTCTGTCAAACTTGGTGGATATTCTTCAGGAAATTCAGTGGAAGTGTTTTCCACACATGTCACTGAAATAAATGACTGAGTGGAAATTCCCCAGCTGAAAGAAAGGTTTTTAAAGGAGTTCAGTCCTTAAAAGATAGCAAAGAATCCACTTGGGCACTCAACCTTCAAATGTAAATCCATGTTAAATATTTCTTTATTGGTTCTGCTGCTCAAATAATTAATCACAACCAATTCAGCCACTTCAAGTCTAGAGGAAATAGTTATGTTTGGGTTGTCTAACTAACTGCACCCCTAAATGGGATCAATTAAAAATTAATTGCTGACAGAACTACTATGAAATATTCCATGCTGGTAACAAAGTATTATAATCTTTGCCAGGATAAATGTTTAAGGTGAGAAGACCTTGCTGTTCTGTATTGAGGTGCATGTTGTTCTCCTATTGCTGTCCATCCCTGAAGTGACCATTCACTAGGCATTAGAAATGTTATCTGAGGAAGGAGCCACCTTATCTTTCTGTCTGATCTCTTTCTCTAGAATTCATTATGCCAGCACAGTGTGACAGCCAGAGTCAGAAAGAATAGCAGTCATGATTTTAAAAGTATGGGATTTGCTATATGTAATGACATTAAGTTTATGAGTAGTGGAGGGTTTCTTAAAAGATTTCTAACTTTTGAAAAATACTTTTGTATGTTAACACGATGTCCAGCTTTTAACATACTGCCATAAACAACCCTGGTTCTAGCCATAAAAGATTAAAAAAAAAGGCCAGGGTGTGGTGGGGGAATGGCAGATTGATGGGGGAGCAGGCAAAAAATAATATCTGGATGCCAGATGGTACCATCATGGTGATGGGGCCAGTTCACTAAAAAACAAAGGGAAATTCCTGAAATGCATTAGCAGGGGTGACAAAGACCTCAGGGAATTGGATATGGACAGAAAGACCAATGTGGCAGAGGCACCCAAAATCTCTTTCTTACTTTTCAGTAGGTATTTATACTTCTAAAAACACATAAACTATTTTAATTTGGTTTTCTTTGTTGAACAGTTTCCATCATGGTCTTTGTACCTGATTCACAGGTTAGTAAGTAAGTTTAAAATTTCCTGTTATGCCTGTACTTTAAAAATAAAGCATGTTGTGATTTTTGGATTGCCAAAAAAAAGATAGCAAAGACATATATATATCTTTATCTACTGAGCCATTGCTTGTCCGCTTTAGGTTCATGTAGTGAAAAGGAAGAATCTTCATATTAAGATCTGATACACGTGGTTGGTCAAAGGGAAGGTCAGCAATGCAGCTGGCACACATTAGATAATGATTGCTATCTACTCATTCAAGGACCCACTACACACAGTCCCAACTACTTAAGATTTTTGTGTCACAACAATACAAGATAGAAACAGTTACCATACCCTGTGGAGAAAGGCAGCAGTGAGTGAGAAGCACCAATAACATCAAATAAAGGGACAAACCTGAAGGAAAAATCATATTCAAACTTAAAAGAAACTATAGAAGGACAGAATGTAATCACTCTGGTTGGAATTGGACCTGTGCAGCTGCCTCCAGCATTAATACTCATACAGATGGAAATTTTATTGATAAGTGGTAAGGACCACTGTTTCATGTCTCTGAACAATGATGCCAGCAGCTATCCCATGTTGTTATGTGAGCATCCTGTGGTGCTACCCATGCATTAAAACCTGTGAAGTTGTTGTTTTCTGAAGGAAAAGGATGGATTTGCATTTCAGCTCAAGACAAAGAGTCTGGAAGTCTGTGCTCAGTTCTGGATCTATCACAGAAAATTCCCAAGACTTCAAACAAGCCCTTGAACATTTCATTTCACCAGTAGTATCTGAGTTTAGAGACCTTAATAGATGGGTGTCTCTGCCTTAGAACACTCAGTCTGACTGGTACGTGCATGTCTCAAAACCTCAGACTTTATCTAAGCCATGGATTTAACCAGTGATGTTTTAAAACAAAGAAACAAACAAAGCAAGAAGGAAAAAACAACAAATAAAAAAGCATTAAGCAATAAAAATTAAGGACAACATGTAATTATGTAGCAGTGAGGAAAATTAGCTATTTTTCTCCATCACTCCAAGCATACCAGTATGTATATACTTGTTTTTCTTCATAGTACATTTTGCAGGAAACCATGTCCTAGACAGAAGAGGCTGCTGCTACATATGTCAAGAGTTCTGAAAATCTCTGGAACACTCAGCAGAGCTCTCCATGGGTCTCACCCTGAACCCACTATGACCTGCTGTGAAAGGTCTCTCACTGTTGAGCATTGACATTGTCTTCTCATTTCTCTTCTGACTTCTCCAGTTACGTATATTTTTCTATAGGGAAGGGAATATACATCAGTCCTTAGTTGAAGAAATGAGTTACTGCCTTTGTCATGTTTATTTGGGTTGTTATTAGAGGAATGATAATTACAGTGGGATTTAATTAAACAGTGTGGAATGACAACTGAAACACCTCAATCATTTCCCACTTCCTAAAAAAATATTTTTCAGTACATCTATTCTGTTACTTACAATTTCCAAGTAGTTCAGAGGTTAACATGTAGAAATGCCTAATGCTGAACAGTAGAAGATGAGGTATATGCAGGAAAAATAACTTCAAATGCATGAACTGTCCCCTTTTTATTAATATACTTTTTGAGGTTTGTGCTCACCATTTGGCAACATTTGTCATTAATGACAACACAAAGATATTTGAAAACCTTTATAATTTTCTGATGTTAGGATGATAGAAAACTCAGAAACATTATATATTTATGTTATACATTCACATTACATAAATGTAATGACCATTACTGTATGGAGATTTCTTTGTTTTTATGAGTTTCCCCTCTTTTTTCTGCTTTTAACTCTTTCAATTTGGCTAATTTTCTCTTTACCAGCTAACAGGTTTATTAGAATTAAATCACATTTCCAAAGTTAGTACTAAAAACTTAGAAATTGGATCTAGATTCCTTAAAACATACAATTTCCTACAGGTATTCTATTATTTTTCATTATGAGTTGCTGACTCAGGTAAAATAATATAATACCTGGCATTTATAGATCAAACCTCATTTCAAAAAGTATTCAGTTTTCTTCAGTAATGTTCTTACTTTTTTTGTGTGTGTCTTCTCCCTTTTTCCCCATGTTTGTATGATACACATTATGTGTAAATCTTCCAAGTATTTGAAGTATCTCTGTTTTTCTAAATGAAAATTTTTAATACCTTGAAGAATATCCTCCCTTTTGGTTTGGAGTACACCAGTTCTTCAAGAAAGCAAAGTTACAGAACAATTTATAGTGTTCAAAAATATAAGAAAAACAGCAAAAAACTGATGAAGACCACGACCTTTTTTTTTTTTTTTTTCTTTTCCCCATAATCTGGTTAGGGTTTCTACCTTTCACTTTGTCACATTAAGAAGCTGTATTTCAACTAGTCAAAATATCTAAGTCACAGTGGCTGATGCGAACCGCTTAATCTCTGAGAGGAGATTTTCCTCATCAAAATAGAATTACAGCAGTTACAGTCTTAGAGAGGCCCACCTGTACTGCTAAAGTGTATAACCCCCTCAAAATAAAAGATATCATCTTGGAAACAAGACAGATCTTTTCAGTTAAAATGCCTTACGAGCAGGAAAATGGAACCAGTTTGCATCATTAGTTTCCCAAAAGCTTTGCTCTTGTCTTTGTAGCAACATGATAAATATTTTCAAGTTTTACAATAATATCTGCAGTTACTTTCTTTCCTTTCTGTTACTTTCCATGTATAGTGCTAGTAGCAGATGTAAAATTTATAACAAGATTTTATAAAGACCCACAAAAAGTGGGTAAAGAGATGCACATTCCCTGCTCCAAAAGACTGTGACATTCCAGTCAGGGATCCTGATATATACATCCTGGGAAAACACTAGCTTCCCTTTTAGGTTATGGATATTTTTAAACTTCAGCATGAAGGAAAAGTTCTTTTGTCAACTAGACAGAGGCAGAGGATGAAAGGGAGAATAGTGTAAAAATATTTTCAAATATGCTCATCCCAAAACTAAATATCACTTTTCTTCCTATCAAAACTGTTCATGGGATTCTCACGGTAATAAATGATTTTGCTCGAGCGCCAGACCATAGTAGAAACAGACAGGCATATTGCCTTCAGCCCTGGGCAGAGCTGTTCAACTCTGGTGTGGCCTATCAGAATAAAGATCAAAGGAAGAAGAATACTATCATGACAGCCAGGCTTCCATGAAAAATACATCCCAAAAGCTGAGAAGTAGACAGAAGTTTGCAGTAGTGGACAGATTCCAAACACTTACTGTTAACGAGGGAGTGTTATCAACAGGGATTGTTCTTGTGAGCTTCAGCAAGGATCAGTGCCAGATCCAGCTACAACCCTTGCCTTAGAACTTGCCTGTGGCAGACAGTTTGGAAGAATGTTCAACGTAGAAGGCAAGACAGTCCAATAAAGCTATCTAAATTACCCTGTATTCATAACTTCAGTGTTCCAATACCACTGACATCAGGTATCAAAGCATAGGTATTGCAGGTTACAGAGTGCCCTGAAACTATTGTTTCTGGATAGATTTAGGAGTCATCTTAGTTCAACATGAGCTCATCAAAACAAGGTGTGTTATATTACTGCAACAATATGACGTGGTAAAGGGTTGAATGTGAATCTTAGGCTTGATAAATTTTGAGTGAAATGCTAGTCTAGTTCATAGCACTGACATTGAAAAAGCAGTGACAACACAGAGAAACTGAGAAATTATTCAATTTCTGAGGAAAATAATGAGAGATGGATTTCAGCCTGTTTTGTTGTAATGACAAGTGAAAAGTGCTTTTTATAAAATATTCATGGACTTCAAGAAGGAAAAATTTGGAGCATGTAAGGGTTACTGATCAGTAAGACAAGTGCAACAGATAAACAACTCCACAACAGAAATTAAAAAGTGCTGGGTATTTTTTTAATGAGAGAAAGATAAATGTCCTGTGGAAATAATTTTTTTAAAATTTATTTAAAATTTTAAAAATTTTATTTCATTTAAATTTAAAATAAAAATAAAACAAACAACAAAAAAGCTCTTCACCCTTTTCTAGCTTCAAATTAAGACTTGAAAACAGTTGCTGTGACACAAGAAAAAGTAATCTAAATTATTTTCCATGTAGCCCTGCAATTACCTGATAATAGCAGCCTTCTCAATAGTTACAATTGAAAAAAATTAACAACTAAGTCAAAGATTATCTAGGTTGAATACTTCAAAAAGGTAGCTAGTGGGATCATCATGTACATTGGGAACATTGGAAGATTGGTGGATGCCTTGCACTGAGGTGTTTAAGGATCAAGTTGGATGTTACAAGGGTTTGTCCTGTTTCTTGGATATGAGGAGACCTGCCACTGAGTTGCCAACAGAACCCCCTGTGTGTAATTTTTAATAAATGTATGATGAGATGAAGTTCTTGTGTTTCATTAAATAAAATTTGGCATGGGTAAGGTCATCCTGCTTTTGGTTTCCTGGCAATTTGTCGACATAACTTTCTTGCTCTCTTCGTCTCACAGGTTTATTCCCGAGGCTTGGTCCACCTGCAGTGTCACCTGTGGAGTGGGCAGCCAGATGCGGCTGGTGAAGTGCCAAGTGCTCCTTTCTTTCTCCCAGTCCGTGGCTGATCTGCCCATGGATGAATGTGAAGGCCCCAAACCTGTGTCTCAGAGAGCCTGCTACAGCGGTCCCTGCAGCGGGGAGGCAACTGAACACACCCTAGAGGAGACTCAGCTTTTGTCTGGCAGCTTGCAGGAGTTGGATGAGCTCTATGACTGGGAATATGAAGGTTTTACAGAGTGCTCAGAGTCCTGTGGAGGAGGTAAGGGCAAAATGTTTCTGTGCTGGATTTGCTTTCCTTCTTCAAGTGTGTGCTTGGCACATAATAGCCATAGACATGCTGCTTTGCTATGCCTAGTTAGAATCATGGAATCATTTAGGAAGGAAATAAAACTGTAACATTGTTGGGTCCAAACATATTTGAAAAGGCATAGATAAGAAATTTTAAAAATCCCATGTGCACAATATATTTCAGCCTAGGACTTCCAGATCTGTGCTCAGACTGTCACTAAGAGTGCTCAGTTTATTATATGTTCTGTTTCCTTTATCAACTGATCACCCAAAGGTGATCACCAAAAAAAGCTAAATATTAAAGGGTCTGGTGGCACAAGCTAAAAATCACATATCATTTTTAGTTCTTATCTCTTCGTTTGCTCTGCGCAAGCAAAAGCATGTGGAAGTAATTGTCCTCCCAGAGCAGATGAAATAAATAATGGACATTTTAAGGGCTCAGCTGTTCCTTATCTCTTTTCAACAAGGGACATCAGCTTCAATCCCAGTGCAAAAGAAAGCTTATGGCAAAATGGCACGAATTATATGGTTGTCTTGAACAAGCAGGCTTGGCAGTTGTAGTTTCTCAAAGTTAACAAATTTCTCAGGTTGCACATACTATAGACCATTAACACACATTTCTGATATCCTTTTTTCCCCATCATTTTATCTAACTAGTTCTGAGAAACATGTCTAGTCCAATATTTTTTAATTAAATCTAGATTTTTTCAGGTCTTGTCTTTTTACTTTACAACTTTCAGGTGAGTTAAGAAAGGATTACTATAGAAAAATGAAAAATATACACTGTAGAAAACAACTCCGCAATTTATGAGTTAATAATATGTACAGATTCACAGGTTACGGTCTCGAAAACCGTAGAAATTGGTAGAAAATAATGCAAAGGTTTTCTGTGCTTGCTTTTGGCTTGCTGATGGTAGTGAATGTTCAGAGCAGTACACAGCTGTCAGACCACTAAAACTTTTGCTTTATTTCCTACACAAAAACAAATTACACACTAAGTAGTGACAAACACTGATACTACGAGAGTATGTCATATGTTGATGTTACTAGTGTGCAGTAACCATTCATCACACTTTTACTGTGACTACCAAAACCTGAACAGTTCCAAGAAATATTGTCTTGAAATGAAGTATTTTTTTAGAATATAGAACTCATGCTTGTATTTTTCAAATGTAAGTCACTGATTTGTAGGAGACATTTTTCTTTAGAAGTTGATCTCTTTCAATTGTCAGCAAAAAAGTTTTAGGTAAGATTTCTTTTTGTCTGACAAAACTCCAAACTTTCCAGATTAGCAGATGCTAAGTCAGATATTTTTGTAGCTATAGGTGCAAGACTGGTCAAACTAATTTTATTGGTTTTAGAGTACTGGGAGAAGAAACTGGATAGATGCAGAAGTAACCTTTCACCTCCCAGAAGCAGCAACCAGAAGGAATGAGTTAGTCATATAGTCTGCTGCTGATGGCTTCATTTCCCAGAGCTGTCATCAAATATCATGTAACAATTATTCTATCCTGGTAGATATAAACATAGAAATTCTCATTTGATGGTGTTTTGAAAGTGAACTTAGACTGCCTAGATTCACATCCCATCATTACACATTTTTATACTGTGATTTCCTATTGAGAACTGATTTCTATTTTTTCCCAAGAAAAGCAACTTTAAAGCAGGCAACTTTTGTTCTAATAATATTGTGCAGTAAATAATATTTTGAATTCAATTACTTGGAAAATAAACTTCCTGAAATTTATATACCTTTTTTAATTATCTCTGTGCTGTGGAACTTCTGATTTATGACCAAAAGTTTTTATATTCTCTAAATGTTCAATGAGCCATCCTAATTTAAAGCTTATAACCATTTGCCACATTGACCTATCAAAAATAGATGGATAGTTGTCATTATGCTGAGACACAGCACAATGAAGCTCTAGTGTGAGATTCAAGAAGAAGCTAAAGAAAGTGATAATGATCTCATTTTTTACTGCTGGAGCAAGCCAGATTTTTTTCCTCTCTCTCCTTTTTTTTTTTTTTTTTTTTGTTTGTTTTGGGTTTTTTTTGTTGTTGTTTAGTCTGGGTTGGGTTTTTTGTTTTCTGGCACAAGCTGTTAAAGCCAAAAATTGTCAATGAACCTTCTAGCAATCATATTCAGACAGGAACCTTTTTCTTTGATATCTGTGATGTCAGGCAAGATTGCTAGACCTGTCAAAGATAAAAAGAAATTTTAATAGACAGACCAGAATGCCTGTAGTATGGACAAGAATTATTGGAATTGCAATCAGAGATTTCTTGGATGAGAGAAATAAGCAAGAGAAATATCCTTACTGTGAGGCTTAGGGCTTGTTGGATACTGTAAACTGAACAGTAGTATCAGAGCTTAGCTATATGAATTAGATAATGTAAAACAATCAGCATGAGAAATGGAGAAAAGGTTAAATTCAAGACCTCAAAGTTGTCACTTTTCGGTATTTAGGATTGAAGCAGACAATGGAAAACTGTTAAATTGATAATAATTGTTCAAGAGCTCATTTGGTGACACCCTTCAGAGAGGAAAAATAGAGACTGTGGAAGTACACACCCAGTTTAAAAAATTTTATTTGAGAGGGACATACAGAAAGTGAGTGAACTGTATGCCTAGCAAACAGAAACATGTCAACCGGCATGTGACAGGAATCAGTGGTTTCTTTCCACAGTCTGGAAAAATACTTCCATGGCTTCCATACCTCTGGATCAGCAGCCCTACTTTCCTGGCTTCATCAGTTTGGTCTTAATGTCAAGTCGGCACAGAGGTTCCATGCGGAATAGAGACCAGTAGTTTGAACACAGTGCCATTTCCCATCAGGTAGAGAACCACCTCTGCTCTTCAGCCAGGAGCATTCCATTCTGGAGAATCTGCAGCCTGTGATTGCTGCACATAATATGATTACATGCTTAACAGAAAAATGATTGAGCTAGAAAAATAATGAACATGACAGGGCAGTGAACATTTTGTTCATATAAGTAAGTTTTGTAAGTTTCTTTTCCTAGATATAAATCACTACCATTTGTTCTATCTTTTTGCTAGGCTACTCTTTTTACAATTTTTCTTAAGTCTTTTAAGAGATGACTTGAATAGCAAAATTGAAAATATGGGGCCACCTTATAAAGAAGGAAAACCCCAACAGCATTGGTTAACTACAGGGACTTTGGTAATTTTGATGTTGATGTCCATGTCCAAAATTGTCAAATTTCTTTCTTTTTTTGGTATCTAGGGTAAGGGAGACACACTGCATAGTCTTGTGTCATAGTCATGACCTTAATAGGCTTATACACAGAGCAGCCATAAAAATGGTAAACAAACTTCTTTTCTGGGGGCCCCGGCCTATACGGAGATTATGGAGAATTAATTTGTGAGTAATGTCAGGAATACAGGGACTATGATCAGCTATGTAGCACTTTGGTCCTCTTGAAGGATATGAAATCATTTTTTGCCTAATGACATGTGCTCTGGCATTAGAAACACCAGGACATATTGTTATCTCTGTGACACCGGTTTTGGAGTCTTTAAGGTTTTACAAGACCTTGGTTTGGTTTGGGTTTTTTCCTCTTCACATTAGCATCTTAATAAAAAAATTGAGGTATTTTGGAAAAATGTTGGTTTTGAAACTGTAATGTAATTGCTGGTAGCTAGCTAATCTTTTCATAGCTCGGATCTCAGGAATGAATGTAAAAAGCATATTTTCATTGTTTTTGAACCACTGTGGATTAGATTCTCATGAAGTTCAGGCCAAGTATTATCCTCAGACCCTCTCAGACTCCTTTTATGCATGGGGAAATAGATCCTTTCTCATCCATTTTTCTTCCTTGTGGCATGTAATGTTGCAATCCCTGATGTTCTAGCTTTCTAACCTTGTGATCCAAAAAGTCTTTGATGCCCCTAGTCATAGGAAAAGTAAGAGTAACTGGTATGCCATAGACTACATAAGGATTTTGGCTGTAAGAAGGAATTTCTGAGTTAAACCTTAATAACCAAATCTTCCAGTTTCTCTTGGCCCCAACAGCTGCTGTTCTTTCCCAGCTCTCTCTAACCTGTTCTTCCTCAGCTTTCAGATATACTCTGCATGTTTGCCTCTTTAGTTTGGGTGCAGGACCTTGGATGCAGAAGATTAAACTGAAAACAGCTGAATTGTCCAACTACATTTTATTTTGCATTTGCAAGTCATACTCTTGGTAAAAATATGGCATGTGAAAACCATGGCCATCTTCACACCTTAGCCTGCTTGGCCTGAAAAATAAAGTGCTTCATTGCACTTTATGCAAAAAGGGAAAAAATGAGAGCACTGGACAATTTTCTGTCCAGGGAGGTGAGCAGTGAATGAATCCATGGACTATTCACTGCAGCACTGAGAAACCTTTCAGAGGCTGAAAGCAATGACAAGTGTGCAGCTGGGGCTGGGTGTCACCACATGCTGCAGCCCCGTTAGTCCTGTTGGGCCCACCCCTGTCCTTGTCTGCCCCTGCAGAGCTGGTTGTGACCATTATTTGTTGTGTGCAGGTGTCCAGGAGGCTGTGGTGACCTGTCTGAACAAACAAACTAGGGAGATTGCAGAAGAAACACTGTGTGTTAGCAGCCGTCGTCCTCCACAGCTGCTGAAGTCCTGTAGCCTGGACCCCTGCCCCCCAAGGTAGGCATAATTTTAAGTGACCCCAAACTTTATTACCTTTCAGTCTGGAGAAACATACTGCCTCAAGCATGCTTTTCTTAGACTGCAAGGACTTACATCTTCCTGCCACAATCATAGTAACCAGGAGGTACAAAGTAGCAGTAAGACTAAAGGGCAGACTTCAGACTGTTTGCCTCTTTAAGTCCTTCAAGTTGGCTTAACTTTACCTAGAGTTTTGTCAGTTTTAAAGAGACTTTTCCAAACTCTCCTCTCAGAAAAGGTTTTGCAGAACCTGCTTGTCTGTGGCCTCAGGCAGTTTCCACAATCATGACCCTAAAAACAGCAGATCTTTCTCTGCAGAGAGTCACATCTGCACACTTGACAACAGAAAATAGCTGTTATGATATTCTTATGGTTTATTTAAATAGGGGCTGTCAAGTCTGTAGGATGTACTGTATACATATTGTCTTTTTTCCCAGCTGTACACAGGTGCACATGCTCCACTGTGACACTGCAGCAGATTTTAAATACATTGATGTATAACTTTGGACTACATAAGACACTCAGAGCTCTCCAGGTGGTAGATATACCTTAGCACATTTATTGATAGGTATATGTATGATTTATAAGACAACAGGCTACAGAGAGATATGTTGTTATGAATAATAGTAGATTTGGGATACACAGAGAAGTTTCACATTAAAAATAAAAGATGGCCAGCATGAAATAACACTAAGGACATAAATAATGGTTTGACTGGTAATCAGGATTTTGAATTTGTGACAAGCAGAAACCAGTATGTTGAAATTTCTTTACCAAAGCATTACAAGTATTGCTTATGGTGATACTGCTACCCTAACTTTGTTAAATTGTCTTTATTGCTGGAAATAACAAACAAATATTATATAACTGTTTGAAAAACACTTTGTAAGTGGAGCTCTTGTGGTAATTCATAGGTAAAAACATCACTGCTGCTGCGAGTGCATGGTAGAAGATTGATAAATCTGATCAGCCATGAAAAATAAATACTCAGCAGTTAAGAAAAAACAAGTTCACTCTTGTAGGCCAGTATTTATGTGGCTTTTTATACAAAAATAATCTGAGTAATTGCATGAATACTCCTGGAAATAATCTGCGTGGTTATCCATAGCACTGTGGTAACTTTGCTACCAGAGTGGAACTACTTTAAAGCAGCCATAGGTATGCATTTCCCTGCATGAATTACAAGAGGATCATTCTGTAGGTGGGAATCAGCTTGTGAAGCAAAGGTGAAAGGGGATTGATGCAGAGGGGGAAGACTAAGCAGCTTTAATCCACCCCTAGGGCTGCAGTTGAGAAAAGGGGAAATTACTCTCTCCCCTGTATATACAACTTCTCTCCTGAAGCCCCCTCAGTCTGGAGGAAATTGCCTGTCTGCAGGCCCAGCATGAAGAACACCACGTATTCTGCAAATCTGTTCCTCTGGTCAGAGCAAGTAGGCCTGCAGAGTGCAGGCAGCATAGCTAATGGAAAGAGAGGTAACAAGACAAGTTGATGTGTCCCCCGGGCAGGCTATGATGAGATAATTACCTTCATGCTTCTGAAGTGCTACGCCTACTAATGTCACTGTGTTAAATACAATGATATATTAATGAAAGAGTGTATAAAAATTTTTGTTTTATGATCATTATTTACAGCCACTCTAATACTTTTTTTAGGAAAGAAATTAAGGATTATTTATTTAAATTAAGATTTTCTCCTTGTTTAAATTATAAGAGACTTCAGAACTGTAATTCAAGAAATTTTGATCCAGGAGTCTGATGAAAATTTAGGCTAAAATCATGTCCTTATATATGCTGATGAAGGCATTTCTACTCACTGGCAAGTCCAAAAATTACAATACACTGTGGCTGTGAACTTAGATCTCTTCTACAGAAGTTTCTAAAATCTGTGAACCATTGATGCTTCCCAGAGCTCTTGCTGATGACTTATAGTAAGAGCTGACTGGTCTTATAGTGTTGGCTCTTCTCTCTGTTTTCCAGCTGCTTAAGTGCATTAACAGAAGCTAAAGTTATAACAACCACTTTCCTAAAAAATTCTTGACATGTAAGTAACTTCTGGAGTATGAAGTTGTTGTGGGTAGAGGAGGCATTCCACTGAAAAGGCAACTGAGATGGTGCTGAATGTCTAGGTAGGCAAGGAAAAAATGTCCACATCATGAAGAAAAGGCTGAGAAGCCTTGCCCAAGAGAATAAAAATTCTCTCAATATATATTTAAAGAAATCATTCCCGTGACATTTCTTGAACCTAAGCAGCCCAGCTTGCTTAAAATTTAATGATTATATCTAAAATCTCGTACAGTTAAATATCTTGCTTAGCTGTAGAGGGAAAACATTTACATGTTAGAACTTCAAAGCTTAATGCTGCTTCTGCTACGGGCATTTTTGGTTACATGTGAGGCTACTCTGTAGCCTCCCAAAGGGCTAGTCACATAAGATGCAAACAACTGTTTTACCTGTTTTACTTTAGATAGACTGAACTACAGAATCTCATCAGCCTTTCTGAAAGGTCAGAAGGCATGGACCTCAAGAAAGATATTGTAAAAGTAGGAGGTAAAGAGTAATTTCATTCTGGTTTTGATCCATCTTTTTTCTCTCAGACACTTGAGAGGAATGATACTAAAAGGATTTGCACAGTAACTGGATTACTGTTAATTTTGTTCCTTACTGAAAATAGATGTGGATAGATTAGAAAACTTCCTTACTCAATACTTGAAATTAACCTATGGTGCTGTCAACCTTTTCAGTCTGTAATTGCCCTGGTCTGTCTTTGAACAGAATATAATAAAAGAATATACTGGAAATATACTTCACATTTATGAAAACACTGAGAGATGATGGTGCTTGTACAGCAGCTGAGAATGCTTTGAAATTGTCTTTGGAATTCTGGCTTAATATCTTAGCACATTACTATTCTGAGTACGTGGAAAAGAGACAAAAACCAAACCACAGAAATCTGTCTTCAAATACTCACAGCTGTATGGAGTCAGAAAAATCCCATACTTACAATTCTTACAGAAGAAAGATTAAGAATTGGGAAGAGCTGCACACAAAAAAATTGGAAGATTTCCTTCATATTCAAGTCCAAACTGAGTCTCCTGGGGTTTCAGATTTTGTTGAGAACTTTTTTGTGTATTGCTTCAAGAACAACAGCAGAAAAAGAGTCCAGACCCTCTTCTCCTGGAAATCAGTGTAACAGAATTTCCCATTTTGAACTGAATTAAGAAAATGGGAAACACTGCAGAGCTGATTGCTAAGTTGGGAGCTAATAACTGACTTTCAACACAATACCTACAGAGTAAATTTGCTGTCATTAACTTAGTTTAATATTTCTAGACAAAGGATATATCTTGCTTTGGTATACTAGGGCAGCCAGCATGCTTTCCACAGGAGAGAGAGGAATGAAGACTACGACAATTTTAATTCAGTCATTCAGTTACTTAATTTGTGTCAGTCAAGCTGTACCACTAGAAGAATTACATAGCAATAATAGAGCAAAGCACAGTCTTCCAGAAGTAAACTCAGAATAGCTGTTCAGTGTCTAGAAATTTCTTCTCTAAGTAAAAAAAAAAAAAAAAAAAAAAGGAAGATCGCTCAGTTTTGCTAATTGCTATGCTTGTATTCTAAACAACCAAAAAAAAAACCCCAAAAACAATTACAAGAACCCTATTTCAATGCTTTGCGCTGTTTTCAGCAACAAAATTACTCACATCCAAAATGCGTCTTTTCTTCAGCCTCCACAGCCTGATTTACAGAGGCAGTCATCATCTAATCAGATATAATTGCTCTTGTTTATAAGAGCAACAGCATGAGCCCCTCATGGTGAGCAAACAAGCTCTATCAAAGGGGTGAAAGAGAATATTGTAACTCTGTTATTAATTATAACTGCTCAATAATTTGGTCAATGAGTGTTGAAAAGTTTTGGTAAATATGTAGAGTAGTGAAGAGAGAATCAAAGCAATGAAAACCAGATGGCTGAAAATGGAAGAAATTACAGGCAATTTTTACAGCTTTTTTCATGAATATTTTCAAAACTGAACTTTTATTTCTGTGCAACAAAGAACAGCTGAATTTTACAAAATGAAAAAAACAAAAGAAAAAGAAACAGCAGATGGTTCTAGGAATAGCACAAAATTTCACCTCAGCACTCTCCCTTTATCACTTCAACCCTCTGTGGTTTGCAAGAAAATATAGGAAACCATCTGAGTAGTTGTGATACATACCTGAAAGGTCAAGCATTGCCTGAGTTACCCTGGGTTCTTTCTCATTGACTAATTTTTTTCTCTTTCTTTTTTCATTTCTTCTTTGTAGGCTTGATTTGGTTTTGTGTGAATGAATCACCTATTCTTATTTTAATGTTTATTTGTTAAATATGGTATTATCATCTGTTTTGCTCTATTTCCCATATGAAGTTAAACTACAAAGGATAAAAAAAATCAACATGTTTTTCAAGGCATTAGATTGGTGATAGGCCAGACTTAGTGTAAGGCATGCTCCTATCAACAATCTGAAATTAATTCAATATGGGTGAAAGGGACAGAGTGTTCTCTAATCTGTTAAAGGTGACCTAAGTGTGAAGGGTGTTGATACAGATGTGTTTTGCATTGGTGGGGGGAAATATTAGAGCATCTCTATCTAGTTCATGAAAAAGGTTAAAAGGTCTGCAAGTCATTATGTCTACAGATATTGCACTACAGCCTTACTGGCAGGGGATACCAGCTCTTGTTATTATCAAAAACTACCCAGTTCTTGCAATTTGGGAATTTTTTTAGAGTTGTAAGTTAGAATTAGCATTAATGAGGCAAAGATCGTATTACTATCTCTTTGTGACACAGACAGGTATTAAAATCCTCACAAACAAGTGATGTATTTTTTAAATAGATGCATTTAGGTCTATTCTTAGCTGAAGCACATTGACAATGGCTTTGAGAGCCTTTTAGATGTAGCCCACAGAGCCTCCTGGGGTCACAGACCACAGCCTGG